CTCAGAGGTCTAAGCATCAGGACAGGTTCCCACCTCCGAGGTTTAGACAGATGTCTGGTATCCCACCGGAGGTCTAAACAAGAGACAGGTATCCCACCTCAAAGGTCTAAGCATCAGGACAGGTTCCTACCTCTGAGGTCTAGACAGATGTTCGGTATCCCACCAGAGGTCTAAACAAGAGACAGGTATCACACCTCAGAGGTCTAAGTATCAGAATAGATGTCCCATCTCCAAGGTCTATACTGCTGGTATCTAGTCCACCCAGAGAAGACTTGGTATCCCACCAAAGGTTTATACTTTGGGACTGGTATCCCACCACCGAGGCCTAAACAAAAAGGACCACATTGTCCAAGGGTTTTCCGTCTAATGTGTATGTGGCTGAGGAGCGAGGTTCAAGGAAGGTTTCCAACATCAAGCCGGAGTCCACTCGCAAGGAGCATAACCAACTAAGGTCCAACTAAGGAGCATCCATCGCGAGCCAAGGTAATCATCCAGTGTCCCACTGGAGGTCTAGGCCAGGGGCCTCATTGTCCAAGGGTAATCTGTCTAACTGGCATGTGGCCGAGGAGCGAGGTTCAAGGAGGGTTACCAGCATCAAGCCAGCGTCTACCCGCGAGGAGCATAACCAACTAAGGTCCAACCAAGAAGCATCCATCGCGAGCTAAGATAATCGTCCAGTGTTTCACTGGAGGTCTAGACAAGGGGCCTCGTTGTCTAAGGGTAATCTGTCTAACTGGTATGCGGCCAAGAAGTGAGGTTCAAGGAGGGTTACCGGCATCAAGTCGGCCAGGGTAAGCATCCGGTATCCCACAGGAGGTCTAAGCAAGGTGTCGGCATCAAGCCGGCCAAAATAATTGTCTGGTATCCCACCGGAGGTCTAGGCATGGTTCAAGGCTGGTTGGTGGTAAACCAAGAAGGTTCTAAGATTCGTTGCCAAATGCAATATTGTTAAGTAATTCATAAGGGTCGGAGGGCCTGAGATCCTAGGGGTCTACCGGGTTCAGGAGGGAAACTACCCTCAAGATAGAGAACCTAGTACAGGCCGACATAAATGAAGGCCACGGGCGCAAAGATTCAGGCAGGAGAACTATCGTCGAGATAGTTAACCGAGGACGGGCGGTCACAAGAGAAAGCCACAGATGCAAAGATTCAGGCGGGAGAACAATTGTCGAGATAGTTAACCGAGGATGGGTGGACACGATGGAAGGCCACTGGCACAAAGGGTTCAGGCGGGAGAACTATCGTCGAGATAGTTTACCGAGAATGGGTGAACACAAGGGAAAGCTAAAGGTATATTAAACAAAGATAATAAGCCATACTGCAGGCTTGCTACTGGTGGTCAAGCTAAGACTAGCAAAGCATGAGCATGAAAAGATAAAGAGTAACGAGGTATCAATGTCATTCTCTTTTTGTAGTCCGGAATACAGAGTGGTAAACAATCTGAAAGTTACTTCATGGTAAACATGAGAGCAAGGAGTGGACATAATGTCTAAGTATATACAAAGGTAGGAGATTACCAGATTGAGTAAAGAAAGTAAAATATCAAGGGGTACACCCCATAGATATACTCAAGGAAATCCCTCAATCTAATGGTGCTCCTCCAAGCGCAAAATATAACAACACCATAGGAAATCCTCCGATCTATGACATATATCCTTCCTGTATGTTCCAAAACATTAAGGAAATTCCTTCACTTTATCCGACCAAGTACAGTTCTTATTTCTTGCTACATGGAGTTGCCACACACTAATCCATCTTGCCGCACATGGTCAATCAAGTCCATCTTGCCACACCTATTCCTTCGGGAACGCGAATCCTGAGAACTGCTGAGAGCTCCTCCAGGTACGAAACACGTGACTAGAGTGA